AAGAGCCACGGAGGCTCGAGGTGGCGTGGAGGCAGGCGCGGCGGGCTGAGCACGAGGGGTCAGGGTCCATCTGGGAGGGGGGTGTTGCCGTCCTGTATCCCGGGCAGGGGCCGTGTCTTGTGTCTGTCTGGGGTTGGGGCCCCGCTGCCTCCTGCCAGCTCACACCGTCACGGGGACCCATCCCATTGCCAGCAGCCGGCTCCCTCCAGCCCCTCCCTCACCCCCTGGTCACTACAATCTCCAGAGTCCAGCCGGTCCGGCCGCACAGCCATGGGGTCGGCACTCAGCAATGCCCCCCCCAGAGCAGCAACCCCCAGCCCGCCTGGCCCCAGGCCCACGTGGAGGCAGTGCGTGGCCCGACCCTGTGGAGCTGGACCAGGTGCAGCCCCATGGTCCCTCAGGCAGGGCCACAGGGAGGCCTGCCTTGGCTGGGGGGGCACCGCTTGGTGCAGGCGGCTTGTGCCAGCTCAGCACGTCCTGTCCCTCCAGGCCATTCCCGGCAGCTGGACAAGGCCTGGCCAGACCCCCCTGTGCTGGAGCTGGACGGCGTGCGAAGACAAAGCCTAGGGCACGGGGGCTGCCCCCCATCTCCTGTCTCTCAAGATGTGGGGGTGTGTTCTCAGGGGGCTGTTTTGGGGCTATGGGGGGGGGACACAGGTCCTAGAGACCCCTTTGGCTGGGGGCGGTGGTGCCCTTTGCCCCCGACAGCTCTGCACGGGGTCAGGGCTTGACTGAGCAAACAGGAGCGGGGACGAAGGTCTCTGCAGGGCAGCGCTGGGGGAAGCACGTCCCCAGTGCTGGGAAAGGGTGGGTGGTACCTGGAGCTGGTTCAGGAACATAGCCCCCCATCTCCCCCACCTGCTTCTTGTCCCCAGGCTGCTGGCCCCAAGGGGATCGCCGGGATCTCGAGTCTGGGGGTCCTTCCTGCACCCACCCAGCCTCCGCGGGGGTAGAGGAGCAAAGGGCAGGCGGCACTGGCCCCCCAGCCCCGGGCAGCCCCAGGGGTTAATGGCACGGTGGGGGAGTGGCAGGGGCGAAACTGGCCGGGCGGGTTGAGCAAGACCCGGGGCTATATAGGGCCAAGCCTGCAGGCACCGGACCCACCCGGACCCCGCAGCAGCATGCGAACCCCCACAGTCGCCACCGCTGCCCTATGCTTGGCCTGGGCCCTGGTCCTAGTGCCCGCCTTCCCGCAGTGAGCACCCGTGCGGGGCTACAGCTCTGGCGCGGGCGGGCATGGGCAGGCGCCATGCGTGGGAGCCCACCCTTTCCTCGGGGGCAGCACTGGAGGGGGGGCTCCAGTGGGCCAGGCACTAATGGGGCTGCTCTCCACAGAGGCCACAGCAGTCCCGGGACGGGACCCCCAAAATCGCCCGGGGCTTCCCATGGCAGCCGCTGCGGGGACGAGAGCCTCAACGACACGGGTGAGACCCCAGCCCAGGGGGGTGTGGTGGGGCCTGGGGCTCTGCCCCCCGAGTCCGGCCTGGCCCACAGGACGGTCCCTCTCCCCAGACACGCTGCGGCGCTGTGCGGACGATGGGGCCTTCGACGCCGTGGCGCTGGACGAGAAGGGCAGGATGCTGTTCTTCAAAGGTGCAGAGAGGGGCTGGCCCCTGGGGAGCCGCAGGGCAGGCACCAGGGTTGGCTGGGGCCCCGCTCAGCCCAGGTCTGAGCCCCGCTGCCCGCAGGGGACGAGGTCTGGAAGGGGTCGCACGGCCGGCCTGAGCCCATCAACGCCACGTGGCCGGAGCTGGGGTCAGGGCCCGTGGACGCTGCCTTCCGCATCCATCACAAGAGCAGTTCTGTGCACGACAGCCTCTACCTCTTCCAGGTGCTGTGGGGACAGGCGAGAGCTGTGGGGGGATGGGGGTCTCTGGGCTGGGGTGGTCCCCGGGGCGAAGGGCTGGCCCCCCCGGCCGGGCTGAGTGTTGCATCCACAGGGCGAGCAGGTCTGGGTTTACACGGACGGGAAGCTGTGCTCCGGCTACCCCCGTGCCATCGGGGACGAGTTCAAGGGCGTGCCGGGGCACCTGGACAGCGCCGTGGAGTGCCACCCCGAGGAGTGCCAGGCCGAGGGCATCATCTTCTTCAAGGGTGCGTGCCACGGGGTGGGATGGGGCAGGGCAGGGCGGGCCCGTTGGGTGCTGCCCACACACGAGCCACGGTGCTGACTGTGCCCCCTCCCGCAGGCTCGGACGTGTACTGGTACGACCTGAGCACAGGGCAGCTGAAGCAGCGGGCATGGATGCAGGTGGGCAACTGCTCGGCGGCGTTGCGCTGGCTGGAGCGCTACTACTGCTTCCAGGGCCTGCGCTTCCTGCGCTTCAACCCGCTGTCTGGCGACGTGCCCCCCCACCGCCACCCCCGCGATTCCTTCATCTGCTGCCCCGGCAGAGGTGAGGCCTGTGCCCCCGCACTGCAGATCCCCCAGTGTCCCCAAAGCCCAAGCTCCCTGGCCCTGGCCCCCCTGCACCATGGCTCCACCAGTGTCTCCATACCACAGCCCCCCAGGCTTGGCTCCCCAAATCCTGCTCCTTGGGGAACCCCAGCACCCCCAAACCCAGCCTGCTGCCCCCCAAACCCCCCCCCGGGCCCAACCCCAAAGCACACCTCCACGGCGGCACCCGGGGCCCTGCTACCCCCACAGCTACTTCTCACCCGGCAGCAGTGAGACCCCCCCCAGCCCCCAGGACTCCCCAGTGCCCTGCTCCCCACGGCACCCTGCCATGCCCGGGTCCTGCCCTGCCACCCGCCCCCGCGGGGACCCTGCCAACGCTATCTGCCTGCAGGCCACGGGCACGCGGCGCACCACAACGCCACGTTCCACGCCCCCATGGACCGCTGCAGCGGGCTGCCCCTGCAGGCCTTCGCCTCCGACGACAAGGGCCGGCTCTATGCCTTCCGCCGTGAGTGGGGCTGGGGGAAAGGGGCCGGGGGCTGCGGCAGAGCCCGTCCCAGGGCACGGGGGTTGCACCCTGGCTGCCCCTGGAGCCACGTGTGTCCCCACAGAGGGCTACTACTTCCGCCTGGACTCCCGTCGGGACGGGTGGCACGCGTGGCCCCTCAGCCACACGTGGGCCGGGCTGGAGGGTGAGGTGGACGCCACCTTCATCTGGGAGAACTTCATGTACATCATCCAGGTAAGGCCGGTGTGGCGCTAGCCTCTGGGGGCTGTGCCCGGGCAGGGCGCTGGGTGCCCGCACCTGCAGGCCGTCTGCCCGTCCCCCCAGCGTGGCACCTCTCTGTCTGTACAGGGCTCCCAGGTATCCATCTACCGGGAGGACCAGGGCCACGCGCTGGTGCAGGGCTACCCCAAGGGGCTGCAGGAGGAGCTGGGGATCCTGGGGGCCGATGCCGCCTTCACCTGCCCCGGCTCCCCACTGCTCTACGTCATCCAAGGTGCACGAGGGAGCGGCACGAGGGCTGGGAGGGTGAGAGCACGGGGTGGCGGGATGGGAACCCGGACACCTGGGTCCTATCCGAGCTCTGAGAAGGGAGCAGGGTCTGGGCAGGGGTTGGGCCCGGGGGGGGCCTGGGTTCTCCTGCTGCAGGCCCTTGCCCACAGCTGCCCCAGGTGGGACAGGCCGGGGCTGGGGCCGCAGCATGCCACGCCGTGCTGTGCCAGGGGTGCGGTGCGGGGCGGGCCGCTCTGACCACCCCTCTGCCCGCAGGCAGCAGCATGCAGCAGGTGGACC